TATTTATTGAACAGATTACAACTTCTAACAACAGATTTATTCTACCATGAAACAATATTTATCTACGTACTAACAAACCTACTAGATGCCAACCTTTATGGTTTACCAATATTCTTCATTTAATACAAAATAACACAACTACAACAACATGGCCCTATTTATCTCTACCCCAAATTAATTCCTTTTTTAATACAACAGATCTTATCTCTCCACTATTTTCTAACAACCCCTTTTCACTAATACAACTATATATCACCACTAATAACACCTCTTTGCTTACATATCTAACCTCTATAACAGAAACTTCAATATATAAACTAACTTCTTTTAGTTCTGGTTTCTCACAATTATCACCTATGAATCTTTTATCTTCTTAAATTCTCTCTTCTTTCAATCTCTCTTATATTTTAATTAAGAAACTAAACAACCACTCTATATTCAAATTGACTATAGAGAAATCCTAGTATTAATTGAAATATTCAACTTTACTAATACTACAAACTCTTCTCAACTAATTCCATAAATTAATATTCCTATACAAGAAGTTCAATTAATATACAATACAATTAAATCAACTACCTATCAACACCAACTTGCTAACCTTTTCTTACTTACTCAAAATCTTAATTCTCAAGATCTTCACTTCTATACCAATGCATCAATTTAAAATTTATAATCATCAAATATCAAATCTGGTATTGGCTGGATTTGTGAAAATGACTTATCTATTAAATTCAATGCTGCTACTATTCCCTATCCTGATACAACCTAAATGGAACTTGAAGCAATTATCTCTCTTCTTCTTGTTATTCCTAATAACACACATATAAACATTTATTTGGATAATAATATTGCAATTAAAAACCTAAAACAAACATACTATGTTAAGCCTATACAAAATCAAAACTGAAATATCATATTTACTATTAATAATATCAAATCTATTAAAAATATCTTCTTTACTTTATACAAAATTAAAACACACTCTAACTCTATTCATAATCAAGCAGACTTGCTTGCTAAATGAGGAGCTAACAAGACTATACTAGAAATCTCTCATAACTACATAAATCTTCCAACACTCTTTCTATGAAAAGACCACCTAATTCCTTTTAAAATACGAACTTTCATCAAAAACATATATACTATACAAAAGCTTTATATATGGTCTTCACTTAAAATATTCAAAAATATTTCTAATATCAATTGGAACTTATGCTTTGATATTTTAAACTCCTTTAAATACAATCTCCCAAAATACTCTCTAAGAGTTAAAATATTAACTAACAATCTCCCTACTATGGAAAACCTCAATATCTGATATCCTTACCTATATACTACACCAAATTGTACTCATTGCTCTAACTTAGAAGATACTATATATCTACTTTTGTGCTCTAATAATAATATTAATCTTCAACATTCTTTAACAGATATAATTTCAAATTCACTTTTATTACTTAAAATAATAACTACATCTACACTTACAATTCTTAATATCCTTTTGCGATTCACACTTAATAACCCTAATTCACTTTATAATCTCTTGCTATACTACATCATTGGTATCTATCCTTTAACTGTATATGAAAATATCAAGTTACAGCTAGCTAAACAAACCAAACAATTTCTAACTACTTTATCTAATGATCTTTTAAATTGGTTTCATAATGAAATATAGACTACACGAAATATTTTTCAACATCAATAAGAGCAAGCTCGTAATATTACTAAACAGAACAAATATATATTACCAAATACTTCTTTTGTATCAACAAATTCCTCATCAAGCACATCTCAAATAGAGTTTTCTGCTTTTATAGAAAAATGATTCCTACAAGGCTTTTCTTTAACAAATTGTATTCCTTAAATGCTATAATATATACCTTAGGTTTTCTCCAACCTATTCTAACTAATTAATTATATAATAGTTAATATGTATTTTAGAAAATAGGAGGTATAATGTCATATTGAGTGTCTTAATTTGTAGCACAAATGTAGTTTTGAAATCTTTAGAATGTAGAATTTTTTTCTATTTTATTAAATAAGTTTCAATTATGGCATTTAAAAAAAAAAAAAAAAAAAAAAGTTTCACAAAAAAAATCTGCCCATATGATTTGTCTTGATTGTCTTGAAATTATTCTTAATTTTGCCTAATTTATATTTTAATTTTGTATCTAATTTTGCCTGAAGATTGTACTAATTTGCTTGAAACTCTATTTTAATTTTGCCTAGAATTAGACAAATTTTGTATTATAGCTTTTTTGTAATTTCTTATCACAGAGTTCGAATTAATTCTACTGAAATTATATTTACCAGAGTTATAAATTAATTCTACCAACATTATGTTTAAGACTTCAAATTAATTCTATCGAAATTATGTTTACTGGAGTTATTCAGAATATTGTAACCATAATTTGCAATTTTGTCATATAAATAATTTTAGCAAAAATTTTTATAAAGCTGGCATTAAGAATAAATATAATGCACTATTTAATATAAAGTTACGTACGTACGTATGTACGTACATTACAGTTTCCATATATAACATAAAAATGTAATTTTGTATAATACCATCTAGAAATAATGAGAAGAGGCGTTATTTTGAAATTTGGCCTGAATTAAGCTAATTTAGGGCAAAATATAAAATTACACCCATTACTTACGGTAGCAAAAATAAATTTGAAATTTGGCAAAATTTAGGGTATGATTTAGGCAAAATTAAAATGCAAATTTGACTTGACCCACTACATTCCGTAAATATCATCTAATTTTACAATTTATTTTCCGACAGCCCTAACTGCTGGCAGAGGATGAACTGAGTTTCATATGAGTTATGAACTGAACATTGAATAAACATTGGTGTAAATGTTAAAGTAAATGTTGAGAAGTAATATTGAATGAAGTAAACATTGAAGTAAATGTTGATATATGTGTATTAGGGTTGGAAAATTACCATAATTTTATGTAAATTTGTGTTACTAAATCAAAATTATCATGAAATAATTTTGGCAAAAATTTTTATAAAGCTGGCATTACAGTTTATATAATATTTTTTCGTAATATATCACGTGTCATACAAATATTGCAACTTATTTATGAGACATCATTTGTGAAATATATTTGTTTGTTTTCATAGTCAAATCCCAAACTCTTTTCGAACAAATCTCTTATTATTAATATTTATTTAATGATTATTTTTTATTAATTTTTAAAGTATAAACAAAATGAAAAATTAAAAATCTGAAACTGTCATGTCAGCAAATTCTTTAGCTTCTTCAAATGAATATTGATTTGAAGTATCATAGATATCAAATCCTGTATCTTTTATTTCACCCAAATCTTGAGCAGAAATTTCAGATATATCATCTTTAAATGGTGAAGTCTCCAACCAATCTCTTGGATCTTCTGCATTCTTTGTTGCATCTTTACACCATTTCTCAAGAGTTCTACCATTTAAAAATGCTATTATAGTAATTGATATATCATCAGTACAATATTCAGATTGTGAAACTAAATCACATAATTTGACCAAGTCTTTGCAGGCTGATTCTATCAAATCAGGTGAATGTTTATTCTTTTTCATGTAGCTTAATAAAATTTGAGTTGGCATTCTTTTATGTACTCTAAGGCGATTCGTTATACCTTTTTTAAAAAAAATTTAAGAAAAAGATTAATACCGTATGTAGTCATCATGCTTAATTGTCAAATCTCACCATCAGAGCAAAGAACAAGTAAATTAAGATCTTTTGCTTTATAAACTTTATCTGCAAATTCTGGTTCAGCTATAATTATAAAATGTGAGCATCTGAACAAAAGATCATACAAAATCTTAATGTTTAAAAGTACTTGCCTATCAAACTATTCTTGGCTTTATCTTTAATATAAAAATCTCCAAAAGAACGTGTATATTGCATTCCACGGCTAAATGTATTATCCACTATTTTATCATAACAAATGAATTTATTATTTCTCACATTTCATGTTTTACTTGGAACTTTGCTTTTGTTATATACTAACATGCCCATAATTTTTCTCTTCTGTCAGGTGCTAATCGATATATTGAATATTTTGTACCTTTGCTTTTTTGGGCTCTCAGGCGTGAAATTTCATCTAAGAAAATAATTATAATGATAAATGCTTTTAAGAAAATATCAATACTTCATATAACACAAGATTAAGATACTTTTATTATGTAAATCATGTTCATTCGTAATTTGGACAGAATCTCCTTTACTTGTTGATATAAAAACCGGTGAATCTCCAATATAAGCCTAAATAATGAATTAAAAGACATTCAATATAGCATAATCGAGATGACTTACAATATAAATATCTTTCAAGTGTGTCATTAATACTATTGTTGCTGTACATCCAGCATTTGTAGCAAAGGAAAGAATAAATTAAATTAATAAATTAAAATATTATCATTTAATCACAAAAAAATTACTCGATCTCATTAGTTGTTCCGTATTCTTAAAGCCTTTTTTAATTGCTTTTTTAACATTTTCTCGTACAAGTAAAGTAACTTGGAAGGCTTTTGGCAATATTTTTTGGTAAATTTTCATAACATATTTTTGAAATATGCTTTTTATCTTTTCCATTATCTACCATTCCATTTACTATTTTGAAAAAAAATATAAATATGATAATTTATATTATATACCTACCTTAGTGCACCTTTTTGTTTAATAGAATTCATTGAGGGGTATGTTAGTTAAAGGGTGGAAGCGATGAAGAATCGATCAAAAATTTCGAGCATCGAAATATTGATACAAATT